AAACACACATCCGTAACATGGAGCCGCACGCAGACCCTAGTCGCGTGGACAGAGTCTCTCCTGTGTCTTTTGCTGAAGCGCAAAACTCCTGAATTTAAAGCTTGGAAACCTTCATTTTCCCCATGCATTAAAAATGCATGTTATTTGTCCAAATAAGTAGAATGTTGTGAACAAATCAAACAGAACACACATCAAGGCATTTTTTTAATCATTATTTTTCACACATAGCAGCCCTCTGAGTCATAATTTGACTTTTTGGACTGAGAGTGGATTTTTGTATGTTTTTTTCCCCACAGTTAGTGCCACTTTATTCCCAAACTCTTGTTAACTCATTGTATTGAGAAATATTATGTCGAGGCCTGGATTTAAGCACTTTGATAAGAATGACTTTATATTGTAAATATAGGCTACAGAGTACATATTTTTACATTTTCTCCTGATGGTGTGCCGCAAGATTTTTTCAATAAAAAAAGTGTGCCTTGGCTCAAAAAATGTTGAAAATCACTGCTCTACACAATACATCTCAATACACATTAAGTTTTTTTTTTTTTTTACATATTTTTATTAGTTTTTTCAGAATACAAAAACAAAAAATTGCAAAATGTCAAAATATAAAATATAAGCTAGCATAGAGAAGCAAATACTAAAGAAATAAAATAAAATCGCAACAAAAAAAACAACAAAAAACAAAAAAACAATATGTATACATATATACACACATGCAAGCAAAAAAATAGATGAACATACTATATATGTACATTGATACACATAGTCACACTCTGAAAAAGCAACACACTCATTGCTTAAGAAATTGCATTAAAGGTGTCCATACATCTTCAAATGCTCTGCCTTTGACAATATAAGGAAATTTTTCCAACGTAACACTAAGTGACATTTCTCGAATCCAGGATTGTAAAGAAGGAGTGCCAGTCTCTTTCCAACACAGTGCGATCATCCTTCTGGCCTGCAGGAGGCCAAAGTCTATCAGAGTCTTATTTTTAGATTCAGCTACAAAGTCACCTGGATATATTCCCAGTACACAAAGTTTTGCTACACAGGGAACTTGAATGCCAACTATTTTGTATAATATGTTAATGACCGATTTCCAAAAAATTACCAGTTTCGGACACTCCCATACACAATGGATTAATGTACCTTTTTCAGTACAGCATTTGACACAGGTGTCTGGAATGTCCGGGGACCATTTATTTAGCTTCTCTGGGGTTATGTAAGTTCTCATTAACCACTTATGCTGTAGTAGTTTAAATCTTGTATTAATTGTTTGTGTTTGGGCCTTTAAACAAGCAGATGTCCACTCAACTTCATCAATATCTTCTCCTATATCCATGCTCCATGCGGTCTTTCTGTCAAAGCTGGATTCCCTATCTTGAGCTACAAGTGCAGTGTACAGTATAGATATTTGCTTCCGACCTTGCATATGTTTCATTACAATTCCCTCCAGGTATGACAGTGGCGGCTCATGTAGAATGTTACCATGTTTGGATGAGATAAAATGTTTTAATTGTAAATACTTAAAAAAATGTTTTTGTGGGATAGAATATTTCAAACAAATATCGTTGAATGTCGAGAGATCACCTTGAGCATATAAATCCCCTATTTTTTGCACGCCTTGCTTTGCCCACTTTTTAAAGCCACCGTCTGATGTACCTGGTGCAAACCGCTCATTACCCCAAATAGGAGAGAATTGAGAAACGGAGGGTGTATCATCAATATGTTTATGAGCTTTAAACCAAACATCAATAGTATTTTTAAGAAAAGGATTTGTTGTTTTTTTCTTTAAGGTCTTAAGATCTGCAGAATATAGATAAAGGCACAATGGAATCTTGGAGGAGGACTGCTCAAGGGAGATCCAGGCTGGAGGAGGATGTATAGAAAAATAAAACATAGCCGAGCGAAGCTGGGCAGACCAGTAGTACCACTGAAAGTTAGGCATTTGTAAGCCTCCCCTATCATATGGCAAGTACAATAATCTAAGCCTCAGTCTAGGTTTTCTATTATTCCAAATGAATCTGCAAAAAATACGGTTAATTTCTTTAAAGAAAGACTTTGACAAAGGAAGCGGAATAGATTGAAACAAGTATAAAAATTTTGGGAGGATGCTCATCTTGATTAGATTTATTCGTCCTATCAATGACAATGGCATTTTCATCCACTTTTCAAGAGAGTCTTTCACTTCATTCACCAGCGGGTCATAATTTGTTTTGATAACTGTATTTATGTGAGGAGTAATCTTAATTCCAAGGTATGTAAACCCGACTCCTGCATTAAAAAAGGGTGTATGCATGATTGGGTGAGACCGCTCCTCTTTGTTTAAAAAAAGAATGGAGGATTTAGAATTGTTAATACTGTATCCCGAGAATTTACCAAAAGTAGTGACCAATTGTAAAAGAGTTGGAATGCTAACTGCAAGCTCTGACAGAAACAAGATGATGTCATCAGCGTACAACGAAATTCTGTGTTCAAAATCCCCAACCGTTATTCCTGAAAGATTGGCCTCAGCCCTGATAGACATAGCGAGGGGCTCAATGGCCAATATAAACAGTAAGGGGGAGAGGGGGCACCCCTGTCTCGTAGACCTTTCTAATACTATATAGTCGGACAGATTATTATTAGTTTTTATACAAGCCGAAGGGCCAGTGTACAACAGTTTTATCCATTTTAAAAAGGGAGCTCCAAGCCCATATCTTGCTAGTACATTGAACAAATATGGCCATTCTATCCTATCAAATGCTTGTTTTGCATCAAGAGATAAAAGCGCCATGTCTTTTGTATTGTATTTTTCATGAATTATGTTTAAAACCCTTCTGATGTTATGAAATCCTTGACGCTTTTGCACAAATCCATTTTGATCGTTGTGCACCAAATGGGAGATATGAGGATTCAATCTATTAGCAAGAACTTTACTTAAAATTTTAGCATCAACCCCCATGAGGCTAATAGGCCTATAAGAAGAGCTATCCAACGGGTTTTTCTTTGGTTTTAAAATAAGAATTATTCTAGCTTGTCTTAAAGTTGGAGGTAAGATCCCATTATTTAATGACTCATTAAACATATCTAAAAGCGGTTTTAACAAATGAGTTTGAAAGACCTTGTAAAACTCTACAGGCAGACCGTCCGGCCCCGGGGCTTTGCCAGAGTTGATATTCTTAATGGCCTGGAGTAGATCTTGTGTGGTGATATCAGCGTTCAGATCTGACTGGACATCTTCAGTTATTTTTTTAAATTGGAGACTGTTGAGGAAGTCATCACAATCTGTTGAAGTGGAACAGCATTCTGAGGAGTACAATGATCTATAAAATTCCTTAAATGTATCATTTATGTGTTGTGGGTCATTTGTAATTTCTCCTGACGGTAAAGATATACCATTAATGGCCTTTTCTGATTCTATTTGTTTAATTCTCCATGCCAGGAGCTTACCAGCTTTTTCACCCTGGTCGTAAAAATTTTGCTTGAGCCATAGTAGACTTTTTGCAGCCTTTTCGGCTGTTAGTTTGTTGTATTCTGTCCTTAGGACAAGTAATTGTTTTTGTTTTCCAGGATCATTGTTCTCATTTGAGTCAATTTCTAATAATTTAATTTGGTTTTCTAAATTTGCAATGTCTTCCCTTTCAATTTTACGTTTTGTAGAAACAAAACTAATTATCACCCCTCTTATGTAAGCTTTGAATGCTTCCCACCGAACACATGCATTAGTTTGTTCTGTATTAATCTCAAAAAAGATTTTGATTCTTTCTTCCACATATTTTAAAAAATCTTTGTTTTGTAGCCATCTCACTTGTAAACGCCAATTGAAGGTGGGGCGTGAAAGTTTGTTAATCTGTACAGACAAGGACGTTGGGGAGTGGTCACTAATAACTAAACATTCATACCAACAATTAGTCACTTTTGATAACAATTCTTGCGACACCAAAAAGTAATCAATGCGGGATCTGGATTTGTTTAATCCAGAATAACATGAATATTCTAGTTTTTTTGGATGGAGTTTTCTCCAAATCTCTGTTAAATTCAAATCAGCCATATATTGCAGTATATTTTTTCTACATTTTTGTTTTTGGGGGTCTAATTTTGAAGAACGGTCCAGAAGTGGATTCAATGTGCAATTAAAATCCCCGCCGATAATATATATACCATTCAATGAGGACACCGTTAAAAATAATTCATCAAAAAACTTTGGATTGTCCTCATTAGGGCCATACACACACACCAAATTCAATTCAAGAGAGCACATATGCCCCTGAGCAATAACATACCTTCCTTGAGGATCTTGAATGGTCTTGTTGAGCTGAAAAGGTATTGTTTTGTGAATGAGAATTAAAACTCCCCTTGCATAATTATTGTAATTTGCATAGACAACTTGACCCGGCCATCTACGACGTACCCGTTCAATTTCTGAGCTGGTAATATGAGTTTCTTGGAGAAAGAATATTTTAGAGTTTAAGCTTTTAAGTCTGTTCATAACTTGTTTCAACTTTGAAAGCCTATTGAGCCCCCGGACATTCCAGCTAGTAATTATCAAGTCTGACATTTTGAATCTTCCAGAAATTTAAATGCAATGCAATTTCGAGTGCGATATTGAACAAAACATAAATAAAAAAACAAACAAAACATAAAAAAACAATCCCCTGATCCCAACCCCGATCCCTTACTTAAACTGAACAGTGTAAGGGCTGATGTCAATCCACACAGAGGAGGAGTGACTGAACTGTGGAGAGTCATCCCTGAAAAAGCCCAAACTGGCACCCCCCACAACTCCTCACATGGGTTAATAATGTCCCAGCAATAATACAAATAGAATTATAACGTAAAATCTCCGCCAAATGCAGTATATAAGGCACAAATAAAATTAGAAGGTAAATAATTACCATCAAAGACAAATAATTACTATTTTCAAAACAATTCGATTCAAACAATATCCTGATTTTGTCCAGAGAAGTACTTGAGATTACCTTTACTCCAAAGTATTGAGAGAAGAATATAAGTTACTTATGCCGAAAGTTCTCCGCTTCTTCTGGTGTAGAGAAAGTGACTATCTTCCCGTTGTGGAAGATCCGCATCTTACATGGTTGTAGCTGGAATCCCCGAAAAGATCCAGCTTCAACGAACTGCTTTTTCACCGCGTTGAACTGGCTGCGTTTCTTCATGGTTTCTGCAGAAAAATCTTGGGCAAAAAAGATCGTATGGCCCTCGTGAGTGATAGTGCGTTGCTTAGCTTTAAGGAACACCACTTCTCGATCTTGAAAACGTAAAAATCTGATTAGTACCGCTCGATTCTGACCTGGTTTTGGTCTGCCCAGCGTGCGATGTGCTCTTTCAATCGTAAATGGAGTGTCCGCGGGGTCAAGACCCAACCAGAGAGGCATCTTGTGCTGAATGTAGCTTAGCATGGACTGTGTTCCTTCGGTGCCCTCAGCCAGACCCACGAGTCTCAGGTTCTTCCGACGGCCACGGTTTTCTAAATCCTCAGTTTTAGTTTCCAGATAGGCAATACGTTTCGTAGCAGCAGTAAGCTCCGAGATCATACTTTGCACGCTCTCCTCCGCAGATTCAATGCGGTCCTCCGCCTCGTTGAGCCGCGTAGCATTAGCGGAAATATCTTGCTTCAGAGCCGTAAAGCCTCCTGTACCGCAGTAACAGCGTTGTTCATGTCAGAAATACGTTCTTCTAGTTTGTCCAGCTTGTCACCAAAGCCGGCAATATCGCTCATCTTGTCGTGGATAGAAGTGATATCCGTGCGTAATGATTGCAGCTCACTTAGCACGGCGGCTAGGTCGCCTCCTTCATGTGTGTCAGCCATGCTACCTGTAGCGTTAGCACCCGGGGATAGCATTGGTGGCGGAGCAGTGCTTCTGGTCTTCTGAGACCCGCGGAGCCGAGAGGTAGTTTCACAGTCTTTAATCGTTGTTTGTTTTGACATCTTGTGAGCGTTGCAAAAGGCGCTAATGCTGGAACTTTTTAAGATTTACGTGGAGTTGTGAGGGACAACCACGTTATGCTGCCATCTTGCTTGGCGGCTCCACAGCGCCCCCCAATACACATTAAGTTATAGATTTTTTGTTTAACACAGTTCAAATTTCAACAAAAATGTTTCTTGCATTTGTTTTGTCTCCATCTCAGAATCATCTCACATTATTACATTGTATTAAACCAAATCCCAAATTCCCATAAAAACTCGACCACAGATCGATCCAGTCTCACCTTTGAGCGGTCGGCGGCGTGGCCTTTTGTCTGTGATTGTGGTCGATGTTGGAGGTAATTGGACCATTATGGGTCAGAGCTTCATCAATATCTCCATATGAAGTTTAATCTTAGACCGGTTCAGCAGAGACAGAGTTTCAGATTCAGCCTCTGCTCAAATATTTGTAAAGAAAGTGCCGGTGCTGACTCTGGGTTTTGGGAAGTGTCAGGAATAGTGGTTAAAGATATGGGAAAGTTGAAATGAATGATGAGCTGAGGGGAAAAGATAAGGAAATAAGCTTTTGATTTGATCTCTAAATCTAAGTCCAGGCTTTAAACATTCCTCTGTAAAGCATACAGGTGTGAATGTAAGACTTAGAAAAATGTAATATTACGTCCAGACACGGACTGTGGGTTAAGCTGAGTTTATTTTGAGTTCAATGTTCATCAAACAATAATTATCAAGTGTCACTACATGGAATTTTCTAGCGAATATTCATGGCAATGGCAAGGCAAGGGCATTTTATTCGTGATAGCACCAATTCTATACCAAGGCACTCAAAGTGGCTGGGTCTGAAACAAAACAAGAAAGCATCAAAATCATAGATAATCAAAGTACATCAAAAAGAAAGATAAAAATATAAAATCCCTCAGTTGTAGCACAGCTAAACAGAACTGCTTTTCACCTGGTTTTAAACATTGTCAGAGAGGAGGCCTGTCTCACATCTTCAGGAAGACTGTTCCAGATTTTAGCAGCATGAATCTGAAAAGCAGCCTCCCCATGTTTAGTTCTGACTCTGGGCACTAACAGGAGTCCAGTCCCTGTGCTCCTCAGAGTCCCAGCAGGAGTCCAGTCCCTGTGCTCCTCAGAGTCCCAGCAGGAGTCCAGTCCCTGTGCTCCTCAGAGTCCCAGCAGGAGTCCAGTCCCTGTGCTCCTCAGAGTCCCAGCAGGAGTCCAGTCCCTGTGCTCCTCAGAGTCCCAGCAGGAGGCCAGTCCCTGTGCTCCTCAGAGTCCCAGCAGGAGTCCAGTCCCTGTGCTCCTCAGAGTCCCAAGCAGGAGGCCAGTCCCTGTGCTCCTCAGAGTCCCAGCAGGAGGCCAGTCCCTGTGCTCCTCAGAGTCCCAGCAGGAGGTCCAGTCCCTGTGCTCCTCAGAGTCCCAGCAGGAGTCCAGTCCCTGTGCTCCTCAGAGTCCCAGCAGGAGTCCAGTCCCTGTGCTCCTCAGAGTCCCAGCAGGAGTCCAGTCCCTGTGCTCCTCAGAGTCCCAGCAGGAGTCCAGTCCCTGTGCTCCTCAGAGTCCCAGCAGGAGGCCAGTCCCTGTGCTCCTCAGAGTCCCAGCAGGAGTCCAGTCCCTGTGCTCCTCATAGTCCCAGCAGGAGTCCAGTCCCTGTGCTCCTCAGAGTCCCAGCAGGAGTCCAGTCCCTGTGCTCCTCAGAGTCCCAGCAGGAGGCCAGTCCCTGTGCTCCTCAGAGTCCCAGCAGGAGTCCAGTCCCTGTGCTCCTCAGAGTCCCAGCAGGAGTCCAGTCCCTGTGCTCCTCAGAGTCCCAGCAGGAGTCCAGTCCCTGTGCTCCTCAGAGTCCCAGCAGGAGTCCAGTCCCTGTGCTCCTCAGAGTCCCAGCAGGAGTCCAGTCCCTGTGCTCCTCAGAGTCCCAGCAGGAGTCCAGTCCCTGTGCTCCTCAGAGTCCCAGCAGGAGTCCAGTCCCTGTGCTCCTCAGAGTCCCAGCAGGAGTCCAGTCCCTGTGCTCCTCAGAGTCCCAGCAGGAGTCCAGTCCCTGTGCTCCTCAGAGTCCCAGCAGGAGGCCAGTCCCTGTGCTCCTCAGAGTCCGGGCTGGTTCATATGGGACTAACATGTCACTAATATATTTTGGTGCGAGGCCATGGAGAGACTTGTAACAAGCAGAGCTGTTTTAAAGTCTATTCTCTGAGCCACAGGAAGCCAGTGCAGAGACCTGAGGACCGGACTAATGTGGTCGTACTTCCTGGTTCTAGTCAGGACTAATATGGTCATACTTCCTGGTTCTAGTCAGGACTAATGTGGTCGTACGTACTTCCTGGTGTCAGGACTAATATGGTCGTACTTCCTGGTTCTAGTCAGGACTAATATGGTCGTACTTCCTGGTTCTAGTCAGGACTAATGTGGTCGTACTTCCTGGTTCTAGTCAGGACTCGAGCTGCTGCATTTTGGATGTACTGCAGCTGTTTTACAGCCTGTTTGGACAGACCTGTGAGCAGGCCATTGCAGTAGTCTAACCTACTGGAGACAAATGCATGGATAAGAATCTCCAGGTCTGCTTTAGACACTATGTTTTTGATCCTGGCAATGTTTTTTAGATGGTAAAAAGCTGCTGATGTTACTGATTTGATGTGGCTATTAAAATTTAAGTCTGAGTCCAGTATTACCCCTAGATTTCTGACCTTGTTTGAAGGTTTTAGGGAGAGAGACTGTAGGTGACAGATGACGCTCTCTCTTTGTTTCTGGGGACCAAAGACAATCATTTCAGTTTTGTCTGCGTTTAGCTGAAGGAAGTTGTTTTGCATCCACTCACTGATCTGTTGGATACAGTGAAGGAGTGAGTCCACTGGTCCATGTTCTCCTGCAGTCAGTGAGACATAGATCTGAGTGTCGTCTGCATAGTTATGATAGGACACTTTGTTTCTGCGTATTAACTGACCTAACGGCAGCATGTAGAGATTGAACAGAAGAGGTCCCAGGATCGACCCCTGTGTGACTCCACAGGTCAGGGCCATATGATCTGAGACACAGTTTCCAATCTCCACAAAGTACTTCCTGTCTTCAAGGTAAGACCTAAACCAACTTAGGGCGGTGCCAGTGACGCCAACCCAGTCCTCTAGTCTCTGTAAGAGGATCTCATGGTCGACGGTGTCAAAGGCAGCACTTAGATCTAACAAGATTAAGATTGAGACTTTGCCTGCGTCAGTGTTCAGCCGGATATCGTTTGTAACCTTAACGAGAGCAGTCTCAGTGCTGTGGTGGGGTCTAAAGCCGGACTGAAACAAATCAAATGAGTTGTTGATTATAAGAAATCTAGTAAGCTGTAGGTAGACAAATTTTTCAAGGACTTTCCCCATAAATGGCAGATTTAAGATGGGACGATAGTTGTTAAGTACCGTAGCATCGAGACTGCTCTTTTTTAGCAGGGGCCTGATGACTGCAGTTTTCAGGGCCTTTGGGAATATTCCAGAATGAAGGGACATGTTTACTATCTGTGTGAGTGAAGGTAACAGACTGCCCAGAACAGACTTCAGAAATCTAGTGGGTAGTACATCCAGGCTGCATGTGGAGGAGCTCAAACTGGAGATTATCTCTTGGACAGTTTTAACATTTACAGGTGCAAAGTGAGTTAGCTCAGAGAGCCTTTCTGGCTGTTGGATGGTTATCTGTGGATTGGAGACAATGGCGTTTTTGATGCCTTGAACCTTGTCATTGAAAAAGTGTGCAAACTCATTGCATTTACGTTTGGAAGTAAGCTCTAATGGCATTTGAACAGGGGGGTTTGTTAATCTATTAACTGTTGAAAACAGAACACGCAGATTGTTGCTGCAGCCTTCAATCATTTCAGAAAAATACCTTTCTCTCGTACTACGTAGCACCCGGTTAAACTCGCACAACTTATCTTTGAAGATCTCGTAATCTACCTGGAGGTTGGACTTGCGCCACTTCCGCTCGACCCTCCGGCACTTTCTCTTCAGTGCCCTGACCGAGTCTGCTTTAGCCCACGGCGCCTTCTGCTTATTTTTCACTATTTTAACCTTCACAGGGGCAACGGTATCCAGAACATTCAAAACACTAGAGGTGACAGAGTTAAACAGTTCATCTACAGTAGAATACGATGCATTATCAAAGTTTATCATTCCCATAAATAGTTCACTCGTATTTTCATTTATGCGCCTTCTTCGAACAGTTGCAGAGTCCACTGGTGGTTTGTTAGTGAAACACATGTCAAAAAAAACACAGAAATGATCCGAAAGATCTTATACCAGACTAACCAAAACCAGATGTCTTTGGCTTCCTGCTTATTTAAACTAGTCTTTCTGTCATGGTTTAAGTTTATTTCCTGTTTTATTTTGAAATGTGTTATTCCTGTGTCTTCTTTGGTTGTACTTCCTGTTGTCTGATTACCTGCCCTGCCCTCATCTGTCTCACCTGTGTCTCGTTAGTCTTGTATTTAGCCCTGTGTGTTCCTTCACTCCCTGTTCCGTCATTGTCATTCCTAGTCTGTTTTAGTTCTGTCCGTTCCCTGTGTTTTTGGTAGGTCTTGATTTGTATTACTTTCATTAAATCCATCTTTTTGCAGTTTTTGCCTTTTGGGCCTCATTTGTTTTTCACCCACGTGACACTTTCACTCATGACTGGGGGGATGGGAGAATGCTGCCATCCCATTCTACACACGTAGGTTAACCCAAAGCTGTCTAAACATTGAATAAATTCATTCACTTTGATGAAAATCCAACAACTCTACTATCAGTCCTACATGGCGAGACAGAGAGAGACAGAGAGAAACAGAGAGAGAGAGAGAGAGACAGAGAGAGAGACAGAGAGAGACAGACAGACAGAGAGGCAGAGAGACAGACAGACAGAGACAGAGAGAGAGACAGAGACAGACAGAGACAGATGGAGAGAGACAGACAGAGAGA